GATGATGATAGACAGGAAGAGGTCAAGGAGAACAACGCACACATGAGCAAGCAATTGCACACATACAGACAGCGAGAAAGATGCAGACAGACCAGAGTGTCTGAACTCAAAAACACAAACGTCAGACTCCGCCCGTCGATTCAAAAGATCCGTAATTAATCACGCGAATCATATTATCCAAATTATTTCAAACATATACAGCATGCCGCCATGATCACAGAGCGAAGAGGTTGGACCCAACCTTTGCTCGATCTCGCTGAAAGGACGAGCCGACCATTGTCTTTGAGAGACAAGTTTGCTGGCTTTGCATTTCACGGAGGAAATATGCAAATGGTGTATTTGTCTGATATCAAAGGACACCTCTCTCCATCTCTCTTTCCTGGGACAGCTGACAGTCCATTCAGGGGCCGATGGAGGGGCTCATAGGGAAGAACTGAGGAGGATCGTGACAGGAATCAACATATGTGCTTGCCATCAAAAGCAAAAAAGGAAGTGATGAATATTCATACGTAGGAGCATTTTGGCAGGCGGCGGCTATTGTTTAACAAAGAAAAGAGCAAAAACGACTCACAGCTGAGGATGATGAGTCTCATACACCTGCTCATAATTATGACAGCGAAGAGATACAAATGCAAGCTTTTTCTAATTAGGCACACACAGTCGCATACAGGTGCTAAGGTGCAAAGTTTACACAGGGAAAAAAAGCTGCGTCTCAACAATAATACATGAGAAAACCGGATCAATACCTCTTCTCGAGTACGCCAATTTGCTTAATGTGTGATTAAAGCTAAAATGTACTTTTTCATGGTGAAGTCGATGTAAACGGCGTTCTCTTGAGAGTCTCAGCTCACATACATAAATAATGTCTTGTCAAGCATCGTTTTCCTTCCAGTTACACAAACTGCTGTCTGTTCTGATTCAAAGAGCAGTGTTTCAAATTATCACACCTTCCCATCATGCTCTAGTTTTCAAGGCATTTATCCTTTCTAATTACTTAAATATGAATGAGCATTAGATTTACATTAGCAGCCATTAAAAACAAGAATGCAGTGGCACAATGGTTGAGTGATGTATCAGATGGTACTTTGATATACTTGCATGATACATTTTAAATACCATAGTATCACTGGAAAGAAAGACCCATGGCGCGAGTATAATTTTTAGACAAGGTGTGTCACAACAAACTACCAAACAGTACCATGGCACTACCATGTTTTTTTTGTTTGTTTGTTTGTTGTTGTTTTTTTTACATTTATATCCCCTACTACTGTGGTGGTACTATGGTACCAAGATGGTTTCATGGCTTTGAAATATACCATGGTGCTGAAATCCATGTACTATGGTACTACCACTGTCACCTCCACCCCCCACTCCCGTACCCTGTTGCAAGTCTTGTCTGTTCATTTTGTAGAGTGTACTGATTATGTGCCAATGTTGCTGAGGTGTTTTTTTTTACTGTTCCCAAACTGTACTCCTCACAGGAGCATAGTATGGGGGTTAAAAGGGTTGCCTTTTTTTTCTCCTCACCTCTCCTCATGTTATTCTGTATTTTTTTCCACAATGCTCTGTCTTCCTGTCCTGTCTACCCCCTTGTTTTATTGTATGTATGTCTGATGGATAGGTTGATGGCTAATTTCACTGGTACTTGTGACTATGTGACAATAAAGCTACTACTACTACTACTACTACTACTACTACTACCAAGAATTATATGGTAGTACTATGGTAGATATCTAAAATCCCATGGTATTTTTTATACTTTTTTTGTAAATGTTACAGAAGTAACATAGTATCTATCATGTTTTTATTTTTATTATTATTATTATTTATTTATTTTATTTTTTTTGGAAATGCACTAAAGTAATACCATATTATCTTTTAAAATATACTGATGTACTATTTAAATAGCATGAATGTCTGTCCCATGGTACAACCATGCTTGCTTGGACATGGATCACGGTAACAGTACCAGTACCTCTTTTCTAAGAGACACTATCATGGGGATACATTTTTAGAAATACTGTAGCACATTTTTTGAAGAGGCATATTTGTTAAAAGAGCTGAAAATTCACTAGTGTTGGTTGGATTTTTCTCCATGTTGTCGTGCTGTTTCACTAATCTACGTGTACGTTTACAGTGTAGTGAAAAGCTGAGAGTGGGCTGTCATTCTTCATTGCAGCCTAGCATCTCAGCAGGCTTTTACACGTCTCCAGCTCGCCGGACGCCCACTAACAAGCAGAGATTTCCTCTCTGTCCTCACCTCCTACTCAACACAGCAGATGAGCAGTGAGAAAACAGCAAACTCTTAAAAAGAAGAAAAGACACCAAATCCTCTGGCCAAGTCTCCGCTCCATTCACCAACAGAACGACGGCTGTTTTGTGGCCGTCTCTCGCTCTTCTGTTCTTGGACCTGTCCATCTAGGCTGCAGCTGTCAAAATTTTGACGTCTTAATCAATCTCGGCCATGACCCCCGTCTCTTGGGGAGGAGAGGAGGATAAAGCCAGGGGTCACCCCTGACCCTGTCTAGTATTCCTCCCCTCTCACCCCCATCCCCGATCACGACATCCCAACAATTGGGGAGAGGCTCCCATTGAGGCATTCTGGGGTACAGGGCTTGTATCCCTTATCCTCAATGGGCTTTTTTCACAAGGTCCTTGGGACGCCCCATTGAGAAAGTTCTCGTCCTCGCCTAAGCCCTCACATTGAAGGTGAACCTCTGCATCCCTCCCTTGGCCTGGGCTGCACACACAGACTTATTAAACAGACAGTGACTTGCATCTGCATGCTGGGATAGAAAGCCACCTTTTGAACCCGCTTCAATGAGGAAACAAACTGCCTGTTGCCTTGCTGAAGACAGCGTGTGATGGCTTAATCAGACATTGATGAAAGACATGTTTAAATAACACAGATATAAAGAAGATGGTCTAAAGATAAGAGAAGAAAGCACCTAGGATATTTATGGAAGCAGGAAATTGGAATATTGGCAACAAAATACTAAATATGAATTGTGATTAGTTTTTATTGGCCAATATCATTGGCCAATATCAAAAACTGTATAGAAAGTTTTTCCTTTTCACCTTTGCTCAGCAATAAGATTTTTTTTTTTTTGTTTTTTTGTTTTTTTGCTGGTCTGTAATTCAATGATCAATTTAATTTTTAGCACCGAATTTTGTATATTTTCTAGAAGGAAAAAAAATCATCAAATGCAAATTTTTCTTTAGAAACCTCTGTTTGCCAGCTACTAATGTTTTTGATGACAATCAGATCAGCAGAACGAGAAAACCAAACATAGTTTGCAATTTATAAAAATTAACGGTAACACTTTACAATAAGGTTCATTAGTTAACATTAGTGAATGCATTAACTAACATGAACTAACGACGAGCAATACATTAGTTACAGTGTTTATTAATCTTTGTTAATGTTAGTTAATACAAATACAGCAGTTCATTGTGCGTTCATGTTAGTTCACAGTCCATTAACTAATGTGAACTAATACAACCTTTGATTTTAATAACGTATTAGTAAATGTTGGAATTAATATTAACTAAGATTAATAAATGCTGAAGAAGTATTGTTCACATATTGTACATGTTAACTAATGAACCTTATTGTAAAGTGTTACCAAATTAACGTATAAGATTGATATATGTTGCATTGGTGACTCAGCTGCAGCACTAACCCTAACCCTAACTGTCTTGTTCGCTGTGCAAACAAGTGGCCAAAATTATCCTCAACAGCTTTTATGACTTGACTTGTTGTTGTTGTTGTGTCATTTTTTCTATGAGTTGGGAAATTAAATCTAAAAACTTTTGCAGACTCCAAACAACAGCAATATCAAAATCGCTCTCCTCCAAATATCTAAGAGAAATGAAATCATCAACGCAAGCCCTGAAGTGATTTAAGTAAAACGTTTTACCAAATGTCTGTGTGGAAACTCCGTTCTGCTCTTGGTAAATTACAGCCTCTTTCCTTCATTTCAACATATCTGAACGGCAAAAGAGAGCAGAGGGAAAGAGACGGAAAGCTAAGGAGCGAGTGGGGAACACGGCCACTGCCAGTGAGCTCTGCTAATAAAAGAGTGGCCAAGACAAACGTCCAGATCCCTGAGAATGGCCTTTCCCAGTGTACCCCTTCAACCACCCACACAAGCACATCCACAGAGAGAGAGAGAGATCGCCCGCGGTGAATGCGGACCGCCCCCCCCTTGAGCCCGCAAGAGCCCTAAATTACAGTCCGTATTTGTCATGCAATTAGCCCGCTGAGATAGCGCTCATAAATAAAGGCCGTTAGACTGGCCAGTCGGCCGTTTATCACCCCGCTCAAACGATGACCCTCTCCTGGACCAGACAGAAAAGAAAGAAAGGGCGTGCTCAAACTGTCTACATGTCCTCTGACTCTTCCTTTTTGCTTGCACTGACCTCAGCATTACCCCAAACGGTATATCATGGCTTTTTCAGTGCCGTATGGCCTGACTACGGACACTGGGAATCAAAGCCAGCACGGAGAAAGAGAAACGGCCCTCTGGTGACAGAAGCAATCTATCTGATCCTCTCCTTTTCTTCTTTTATCTGTTTTGCTCTTTCAGTGTTTTGCCAATCGCATCTTTTTCCTTTAATGTGAACTGAAAACCACCAGACATGCTCTTGAGAGATAGCAAGCGAGAACGAGAGTGAAAAGGGTACGAGAGCATTCGCCCATGATCTAATTAAGCAGATTCTGCACATAAGCCACACGGCTGTTGCTCCAACAAAATAATTAGCGCCAACGTTTCTCATGCGCAAATCCACTGGGAGGTGTTTTGATATCAAACAGGGCGATTCATAATCATAACCAGACCTCTCGAATAACAACACTCGCTTAAACCACAGTACCCAGCTGTCTACATCTGAGTAAACTCTCACATCCCTGAGAGGGGAAAAGTGCATCCGGGTCAGCCTCTCACTTATAATGATCTCATCTTAAATTATGGAATATATTGCTGCTGGGCGATCAGGGTGTTTTTTCTTTTTTTTTACTTTTCACATGGGAGGTGCATAAATCTCGTTTCATAACATAACCAGGTGAAACGCTCTGTTGGAAAAACTCGAGCATGGGAGTTATCCGAGCTCTTACCTTGGCATGTTCCCCCGTGTTCCTCATAGCCAGGGTTACACAAACAGTTTCCAATAGGCACCAGCCATTCTCCATCTGCTCCGCAGTACATTTTAGGGACCTCACGTTCCTCTGAATTGTCCACACAAGATCCGCGTACCTCCACTAGTGATGAGGTGTCCGCACCGGTGGTGGTGTCTGGAAACTGGGCCAGGTTGCGTACAGTGAGGGGGCATTTCTTATAGAAGATCCGTACGGATACGAGGGCGATGCAGGCCCCGACGTCCTGGAAGGCCAAGTAGAAGCCCTTCCGTGTCAAAATTCCTACATCCCGCACTTCCGTGTTCAGCTTCATGATGCGGTCTCCTATGTCGACCTGCGTGAAGCTCTCATCGGCCGCGATGGTGTCGATTTTGGTGAACTGGTTCTCTCGGATGTACCGCTCTTTGTCATTGTTGGACTCATAGTAGTAGAGGTTAAAGGTCTCCTTGCAAGTTCCCATGACTCCTGGCAAGCTGTTGCAGTCACGGAGGGTGAATTTGATCTCGATGTAGACGCGTTGAGCTCCGCCACGGGGGATCCAGTCTGTTCGGAGCCAGTTGTTCTGGTTGGGTTCCATTACGTTGCATACCTGGTACGTCCTGATTGGTATATTCTTCTCATCCATGATGCTCACCTCTTCCCACTGTGAGAGAGATGGAGGGAAAGACAGAGAGGTAAGTAGGTCTATAGAGATTCTGCAAGGGAGACTTTTGTCACAGCAGGTGCACACAATTCCAGACCCAGAGCTGGAGATTTTCAACAGACCAACAGCTGCAATGATTTCATTGATTACAATATGATAATGAATTTAAATCCCACATCTGCCAGATTATGTGCACTGTTTTGTGAAAAGAATGGGTGGTTTACTCGTAATTTACTCAATTCTGTATGATTTTCTTTCTTTTGTAAAAAGCAGAAGACATTACGAGGAATATTTCAACAGTTGTTGTCCATACAAGGAAAGTCAATTGGATCCAAAAAAGCACAGGAACCCCACTGAATTTTCAGTGTGGACAAAAAACAAATGTCTTTTTGCATTCATCATTAGAAAAGTAGAAGGTTTAGGAACAACATGAGGGTGAGTAAATTATACTATTCTATAAACTATACTATAAATACTTAAACGTTACACTTCTTTACAAACAAACTCATTGGCCATACAAATATGTTATTGGATATTGTTAAATAATTAACATAATTGAAATAATATGATTCTTCGAAGCATTGTGAAAATCCATTCTGTGTATCAGAACTGAAAGTGCCGTTCATGCCTTTCAAAGGCTTCAAAAACAGTTGTTTTTTGGGAGATATACGTCAAATGATTGATTGCTGAGAATTTCTTAAAACTAACGTGAAAGTATGGTTTTCAATAATAATACAGCATTACCAACACCTAAACAAATGTAGTACCCAGTAACATTTACAAGAACGCCCTGACTTCCTGGTCACCATTAATCCCATATTAAGCCATTGTAATACCATGGGGCCTAGAGTTTGATGCTTCCTGCTGGTGCGAGTTTCAAATGAGATGTATGCAATGAAGGGGAGTTTTGAAAAGGCCTGTCACGATCTATGACGCTGTCTTTTCTTCTCGCTTTTTTACTCTTTGTAAGTCATAAGTGTAGAAATCCCAGCTGTCACACGATAAAGCTGTACATTCGGCCCGTTTGCACGAGGGAGGGGGTTCTGTCGGGACCCTGTCAATCAAACGGGTGGATGAGATAAAGCAGTAGAGGGTGGGGGGAAGCACATATCCTCAAATGCCAAGTTCACTATTAAATCTGAAACCAACCAAAAGTGGTTATGGAAAGAAAAAGGAAGGCTAATTGTGGTGTAATGAATCAAATTAATCAAATCACAAATAAAAAACTTCACTAATACTTGAGTAGATTGATTTTAATATTTCAATTTTAAAAATGAGTATATGTTTTTGTTAATATAATGTATTATTTTAATGCAGTTTTAGTGTTAAAAAAAGATGTTATACTAATTAAATCACAACACTAACAAAAATATAATGTGCATAAACTTATAAATGCGGTTGCTGACTGCATAATAATTATAATTAAGTATGAATATTAAAGTTAAGTGTGGCACACACACACACACACACACACACACATATATATATACCATCAGCAGCAACTGTTTTTCAATTATCTTATTTGTACTCATTTTAGTAAGTCAAAAAGTCCAGCTTTATTGTTGTGCAAAATATAGTGCAGCAAGAAATTTTAAGTTTTAAGATGTCAGCCCATAAATGATGTAAAGAAATGAACATTATAATTACAAAGCATAAAATTTCTAAATGAATTATCCTGCGCTCAGGCACTTACACTCAAGTCGTTTCTCAGTCTGTATGAAACATCAAATTATAAGAACAAAGCCATTTCATCTGTCAAGATTTATAATTATGGATGTTAGTGTAGATCTCATTAGTCTTCTGTTTCATCTATGCACTAATGAAGAAAATACCGATTGCATACAGTGGGATGCATCTTAAGCAGTTTTTCATCAATTTTTGGTGTGCTTTTAGCATAGCATGAGGCCTTATTTAAACCTTCTTGTTTTATCTACAGTGTGGAGTCGCAATTCCGCTGTGCTCAAAAAAGGTTCTTTAAATTCTCAAGTCTGCTTTTCATGTGCAAATATAGTTTCCAAGACGATCAGCACCTTCAAAAGTTGTCAATAGAGATTTTTTCCACACAAATACAAAAGTGAAAACAACACGGTCTGTCCTCTGTAGACTCACCCCTCCTTCCGTCGGACTCGCAACCCATTTCAGTTCTCCTTGCACAGTTCTCGAGTCCAGCAGTGTCACTGCGGAAAGACAAAATGCCGTGAGTCACTATCATCAACCTCCTTATGACTTATGACCAAACTGTCTCTTAAGTCACTTTCTTTTGCTACACTTTTGTTCCCAACTGAAAAGTTTTTTACTCTCTCCATTTCCTCAAAGTACACTGATTTATGCTTATTGAACACATATATTTGGCCAAATTAAGCATTTTATAAAGTTTGATTGTGGCATGATTAAGTAGGCCTATTGTTTTAATCAGTGTTCCAATTTGGCTATTGTCCAAACAAAATCTGGTCCTTTGAGAGAAGAACATAATCAGTGAACAGTGAATGTGCAAGGAATAAATAAAAGGTTTTATGTTTACAGCAAGTATTTTTTTCTTTTCCTAAAGGGAAAAAAAATTGTCTATATGTGTGTAGCCTAGCATTTACACACCAGAACAAAGCCCTGGCATTCCCTAAATTAAAAGCATACAGTGTAATGGGATATTTACGCGAGTTAAACAGAGACTAAATTCTACTGAAATGCTTTCATCATTTGCCTCGTGCGGGTCTCTGTTGGCCAAATACTTATTCGTATACATTTCGCTTCTGAACACTCCAAATAAAAATAATAATAATAATAATAAAGGAGTCGTGCAAGTTTCCATCAAATTATTTAAATACGCCTACATTTGTATTCTGGTCATCCAAACCCATTTCTTGAAATGCAAATAAATGAATAATAAATACGATTAAAAAAATAGTTCCAACAAAATTAGCACCCAGAGTGTTTCCTACCAATAAAGTCCGAGTTTAAACTTCGTTTGATTAAATAAATTGCGCAGTCTTAGGATCTGCGGATATGGGAACCACAGACACTTGGAGATCCCCAAAGGGACTTTCGGGGAAAAAATTCTATAAATCCCTTTCGCTGACAGGATAAAGTCTCGAAATAAAAAAAAATAATAATAAAATATAAATAAATAAACGTCAGTCGTAGCAGTGTGCCACTCTATACCGTCGTAACCCAAACAACAACAACAAAATAACTCTTGAAGAGATTTTCCTTTCGTTTGGTAAACCCTTACCTTCATTAGGGGGGTAGACCCGTGCGGTTAATGTGAAAGTCGGTATCCAGATTATTAGCGCAAAAGTCGCTATGAACACAAGCGCAGCCATTGGTGTCATTTCGTGTGCGTCTCCTCCGCTCCGCGTGCGGACCGAAGTTGCGTCTGTCCCGGTGGAATTAGCGTTTGAGAGTGATGCACAGAGCGCTGCTGAACACCGCCGAGGGGCGGATCTTTACTGCCTGACGTGCCTGTCACAGCGAGACACAAAAAGTCAACAGTCTGTCCATTCGGGGAAATAGACAGCCCATTTTCCAGGTTTATGATAATTGGAGAATTTGAGAAGTAGTAAAAGTCTTTCTTGTTTTAATCTTTTGTGTATCATAAAAAACTAAGCTCGCGCGTGTGAGAGGGATAATACAGTTTGCGCGTGAAAGAGAACGCGAGAGAAAGAAAGAGAGAGAGGCTGTTGTGAAAGCTCTTCTTTACATATAGAACTTGGTCCACAATATATGGGAAATATCCTGATCAGGATTATTATATCTGTATACGTCATACAAAAGACTGCATGGAGCGCGCAAGGCATTAAAGTTACGTTTACCGGCTCTATTGTGGGAAGAGCAAGTGCGCCGTCTAGTGTTTGCAATCTATTCCTCTAATCCACAACGCTCAGACAGAAGCCAGTGTCTAAACCTGCTAGATCGTCTATAAATACTTTTATAACACTTTAGAACAGACCGTTTATTCGGGCTAAACAGATCCTATATTAATTAAAACAAACAATCTTAAAACTATGAGTGGGAAGATGCTTCAAAACGTAATACCATTTTAAACTGCAGTACTTCAGTGCTGCAGTACAGTAGAGAGAGATTTATCGCAAATCAGTTGGTTATTGGGAGACAGCGTCATTGGCATGGCATCCCGGCATGGCATTAGGCCTACATAAATATGTTGACATTATTTCTCTTTAATATTTCGATTAAATTGTCTACATAATTGAGAATCCGATTCTTATTGTTCAGACCGATTTTGTGAACCGCATCATTAAAAGACCCGATCTCAAAAGCGATTCATCCGCGAATCGAGCATCGCTATTCAGTTTTGCCGCAAAGACTAAAAGTTATTAAATGTTAGTGTGAGACCCTTTATGCCTTTATCAACTGGACTCCTACACTCCACGACCTCTCCTGCCCCTGTCAATCAAGCGTTTCATGACGCCCACAGCCAGAGTTGCGGCTCTTTTCTATCGTAGAGTTCCATCAATAGCAGCAGATGCGTCGATTTCGTTTCACGCATTGCACTGTCTTACTACATGCGCCCACCTGATGAGCCAATCTACATCATCTAACGGGTGTCGGGCCTGACTGTGTGCTGACAACTTTGACAACAGTGTGTTTGCATATGGATGGCCTGCAAAGGAGAGTCCTGACTTCAGTTGTTGAGTTGCCTACCGCCCTCGAGGCTGATGGATCTGAAAGAGACAAGGCACTGTTTATGCTTTAACATTAACAGTCGTAGCAGCACTTTATTAGTGTGTCACTATAAGATAAATGTAGATGGCTGGAATAAAGTGAGATATCAGTGTTTTTGCTTAAATAAATAATCACGTTAAGCTTTGTTCTATAGGCTACATTCACAGTGATTTACAAAATGTGGAAAAACCAGGCACACCCTTACCCTTTTTTGAAAGCATTAAAAATAAATCCCATGCATTTGCAATCTTTTAACGCATTCTGTTTTGTAATGTTGTAGTAAATTTATATCAATTGAATTGCTCGACAATTATAATTTGAAAAGGAATTGAAAAGAAACATATTTTTTTTACATCCGTTTTATTTATTGTTTTTGATATTTATTCAAGTACATGTTTTGTTAAAAGAGACTGAGAGTCAATTTCTCTTATGTTTTTTTTTCTTCATTTATTGTTGATATTTAAAACGTTTTCAATTTTAAGTGTTAAATATTTGTGGGGAGTAGGGACAGAGTCACCTCCTTCAATGAAAATTAGTTTTCCGTTTCAGTACCCTATTCATAAAAAGTGCCATATTGTTTAAAACAATGCATGTCTAGTGAAGTGTTCCCAGTAAAGGATGTGTCCTCAGCTGTTTTTTGAAAGTTGGGCTCAGCAGATTCGGTCAAGGCTTGAAAATGCTTCCACCGCCTTCTCAGACTTTAAAATTCAAGAATCGTCTAACCACAGCTAGCGTTTCCTGTTTATGTATAGACCAGAGAAGCTATGTTTTTGTTCTTTTCCATATGCGTTTGGGGCCTCTCTGGGATCTCTCGTTTTTTAATGGCATTAGGCTGAGGAGCAGGTGACGTCCGGGACTTTGTCTCTAGGGCCACGATCGAAACGCTTTGTGGCGATCCCGTTGCTCCGGCGAAACCATCTCGCTCAGCATAATGAAGTCGGGCGGAGCATCTGGCGTTCCTAGATGGGTGCCCAACATCGATTGTCACTCAGTTTGGCGAATAGAATGGCATTTTATTTTCTCAATCTGCACGAAAGACTGCGCAATCATAAAGGCCCAATTAGCCAAGGAGGAGGCGGTTCGTTTTTAGCAGTCTCGACCAATCGCTGCGGTTTATATCGGTGAAGGCCTATTGATCGCGTTATGGCCAGTGGGCGGGGAGTCGCCACAGGCAGGGGTGTGTTTGTGCGAGGCTTTGCTCTGGGCCGTTGTGTTTGGTCATTTGTGTCACAGTTTTTTTTGATTGATTACCGTCAGATCATTTTCTATTCTCTTCTTGGATTCTTGGGTCTCCTGTCTGAATTCCCTGAATGGCGCCCCCACACTCGGTTTTGTTCTCCGAGCCCCAGATGGCATCTGCCCACACATCTGTATTGTGCAACGCTAACGCAGGCCTCCAGACCGAGTGCACCCGGGACCCCCAAGGGACACTGTGCAGTCTGTAATTGGCAACTTTGAGCAAGACAACCCTCTTCTACTTTCTGTACGCCCCACGTTCTGGCCTCTCTCAGAACCTTCCAAACAACGTACTCTCATATCCGAAAGAACTCGGCTCTAATGCGTACATCCTGTGCACATGCAAACATGGAACGTGTGATGGATTGGTTAAAACGTAGTAGAGGGGATGAATGCCGGCAGGCCGGACTAAAAGGATGGTCTCAGCAGTCTGAAGAAGTGTGTGGGTGTTTGTGATACAGAAACAAAGGAACTGAAGAAGAGCTTTTGGCTGTTATTTTAGAAAAAAAAGTTATTTCACCCTCAGCTCGATTGAGATGTGACCGAGTCCAATAATATAAGAGATTGATTGGTTTTCTGTCTCCAATAAAGATGTACCCTTACTAGATGTTTCTATAGCCTTTCAGAGGAACCAAATGAGGAGAGAAGTTTCTTTGTTAGAACGTGCCTGTCTTTCAATAAATCCAAAAAGACCTTTCTGAGGTTTCTGCATGAAATCCTCTTTCTCCTTCTGATAAAGATGAGGAATGACTCACTCTTTCTTTGTCTCTATACATGATTTTCCCAAAGACCTTTTTTGTTTGAGATAGAGTCCTGTTCCCCCTCGAGTGTGTGAATGGATTTCAGACTCTGAAAATCAAACACAAAGCTATCAGCTCTGCTCTGTGTTCTCAACCGCTCATCCCAGGGTAGAGGAGAAATCAATGGATAGCGTAAGAGCTCCTAATCATCAGCAATGGAGAGTCCCTGATGTTTTCCCAACTACACCATCAGATACCCAACAATCAATGTATCGGACACTCGAATGGAGTTTAGACAGTTTTTATGTAAATGTTAGTGAATGTCATAATGAATATCTACTGCTGTTTGTTGAATCTGTTTTAAAGAGCAGGTCCCACATATGTACTTTTTTTCCTTGGGGTAGTAGTCGAAGTATCTGGGATTTTCCAATGGTCGATGTTGATATCTAGAAAGCAGAAATTTAACACAGACAATGCATGCTAGGGAATTAAATCTTCCACCAATATTATTTATTAAATTTAATGAAAAATATAAACTAAATACAATTTACAGCAGTGGACCCTATACTGCAACTAATCTACCCATCCATCTTCAACTTTTAAAAAAGGCTTTGTCAAGCCAACAATCAAAGTATGTCTTGACATATTGCTTTTTGTGTAAAAATTATACTTTAATTTTAAAATGTTCTGCTTCCTTGCATTAAAATCCTGTTTGCTACCTCAATTCAAATTCAGGAATTTTAAAGGCAATCTCAATTGTCCAAAATCCAGCAGTAAATGCATAATATAATTAATTCATAGCAAATTATAATTAAATTACACAAACTTGATAAAAGCTATTGTTCATTGGAGAGCCCATATGTGCAAATACACTACAGAAATCAACAATCCTGAAGTGTCACCACCTTTATAACGAAGAAAACAGTTAAGACACTGTGACTCTATTTCTCCAGACCTTCATTGGCAAACATCCCACAGTGGTGCAGACTGAGTGCCACACGGCCTCAACGTTTGCAGTAGCATGGCTTCTATTTGCTAATTCAACTTGTCTTAAGAGTTTTAAATAACAGCCTAGTGCCAGCCACAACCCCGCAGCAGGCTTCAGATGTGGCGGAGTGGCTGTTTGGTGAAGACGGATTGACTGTGTAATGGTGCGGGGTGTCCTAGAGCACTTCAAAAATAAGTAAAGTCATTAGACTGGTGAAGGCATCACTGTTGGTCCCATAGCACCAGGCAGCTGTCACAACTGCACAGAGCAAAAACTCAGGATGAGGAAGGAATGAAAGGGAAAGAGAGAGTTATCAGGCTGTAAAACACATTACAGTATTAAAATACTCCAGAAAGCTCCATAACTTCTACCTTTGTGACTTAGGTGTACAATTGCTCAAAGACCGAGACATCTGATCTGTCATGCAAGACTGCAATCTGCCTTTTGTCATTTGACTAAGTTAACTTAGTTTGTAACTCTAACCTTGAATTATTTCAGTGGAGCCTTATATTGCTTTGTTTAAATGTCCTCTGCCATTTGTCTCAGAGTCAGCTCCACGCTCGATGGCGCTGAGAGGTATAAGTTTGACATAAACAGAGACTCAAAGCGGCAGCAGGTGCTGGCAGAGAGGCAGGAAGACAGAGAGACCTATTGTTGTTTTGAACGAGCTGCTGAGTCCTAACATAAAGTCACGTTTAGACAAATATACTTAATTATAAGCACACAAAAGGAATAAACGTGTAAAGTTTTTTTTTTTTTTTTTTCTCACATAGGCCTACGTGCTGCCATGTTAAAATAACTTTTGGAGAGACCAAAACATACTCTATCAACACATTGACAACACCGTTACTGCTTTGACATGTACAACTTCTTCATGTTTGTCCTTAAGAAAGTTCAAGCACAATAGTGGGACTCTTATTTAATTAAAATAAATAAACTTTGAGAAAGACCCTTTTTAAAAGACAAAAGTTAAATGAAATCCAGATGGGAGTAATAAAAGTCATATCACTTAGTCTCTATACAGATTTAATTCATTATTATAAAACTTCAA